GGCTGGAGCAAAAACTTCTAGAGGCCACAGAAATGGCTATCTTTCTCCGTGTTCCACCTCCGACGACGACGAGTATCGTCTTCTCCAACTCTTCTTCTACACAATCAATCTCACGAAGTCTCGATCTCACGCGTCGTGTTCGTTGCCGTATCTCTGATTCCTCAGAGGTGGTTCTGATTTCGAGTTTCGACTCACTTATACACAGACGCGCATACATGTGTTCATTTGGATCCATCTGTGATTTTACAATTTGATTCTCAGGTTAAATCAGATGCTTCGAAGTTGGAGTACACGCCAGGAATTCTCGATGATTTCTTCATGAATTCGTTTCGGAACAAATTGGTCGAGGTGAGTTTGCAAAATGCCAATGGGGTTTATTTGGTTTCTTTGTGATTTTATCGGACTGGTGTGGGTTTTTCATTAGGGTAATGTTCTTGTTCATGTTCAAGTATGTGTAACAGGAAGTCGGGTCGGATTCAGAGAAATCCGGGTACGTTGGGCTTATTGAGTTAGTGAAGCTTCTCTTGTTGAAAGGTCGAACTAGGTCGGAGACAAATGATGCAGCGGTATGTTTCTCTGTGTTCTGGTTGCTTCGTTTTCTTCTTGGATTTGTTTTGAGAAGCCATTTTCATATTTGGTTCTTGTGGAAGCTTGGATCAATTGCTTACCTTTAGTGCTTTTGGTTGATACAGGTGCGAATACTGAAATCGTTGTTTCCTCCACTCATTTTAGAGCTTTACAAGCTTCTCATTGCTCCTATAGCACAAGGGAAATTAGCTGCATTGATGGTTGGTAAGTTCTGTTCTGAATCTTCAATCCTCCATGTGTCAATGATCAGATAGATCAGGAAGGCGCCCTTCCCAAGAAGCGAGCTAAATAGTTTGTCTTTTTTCTTCTGTTTGTTTCTTAATGAAGCAAGAGTTACTGTACTTACCTGTCAATGGCTCATGGGACCGTGCAAAGTAAATGTTATCGATCTTCCAAATGGAGAATCTTGGGATAGCGGGGTAATGATCATACTTAACTTTGCATTCTGTTTCGTAGGATTCGTATTTTTTCTCTAATCTATCTTTAATTGGATTGGTTTCCAAGTATAGGTTTTTGTGGAGAAATGTCAGTATCTAGAAGAAAGCAAATGTGTGGGAGTATGCATCAATACTTGTAAACTACCGACTCAGGTATTACTCTGCAATCCAACTAAACCAATCAACCAATTCTTACTGTACTGAGTTAGTTGTAGTGTCTGTTTAAAACGAGTTGAAGAGTTTGTCACACGGTATAACGGTAATAAGCATTCAAGCTTGCGGAAATGCTCTTTTTGTTAATCATTGAAACAGTGGGATTTGGATTTTTACAGACATTTTTTAAAGACTACATGGGAGTCCCTCTGGTAATGGAACCAAACTTCAAAGATTATAGTTGTCAGGTACTTCATTGCTCACTAAACCCAAACCGAATACTATCGGGGACTTAGTTTTGTTTAAATATACAAGTTTATAGGTTAACTTCACTTACCGTCAATTGGTTTTGATCAAAAGTTAACATGTTATGTTTGATTTCGGTCTTGAGTTTTTTTTTTTTGTCTTT